ACAGTTCAAACAAAGTGTCGCAGGACTTTTCGAACAACCTGATAGAACGGATTCCGTCTTGGAGCAGAATTAGGCAGTGGTTGCTTTAGCTCCAACTAGCTTCATCTCTGAATGCGCCATGCACTGGGCTTCCACACAGAGGTAGTAGTATGGTGATACTTCTACGTGATGTCTGCCAGCGCAAGAAGATAAGTTCATAGGGTTCAGGAAAGTCCTTTTCTTTTTGATTAGGTTTTTCTGACACCTCTGCGCTGTTCGATTTGACTGCCCTCACGCGACCCGCTCCCTCCCTCCCCCTCGGTTACCTCAAAGAACAGTACGACCTCCCATTGGGGAATCCCAACGATGGTGAGCCTTGAATCCAAAGAGCTCCTCTGCCTGGAGCATCGTAATAGAGAGGGTTGGCTTATATGGAATGTCAGTGCGGCATTTAACTTTTCAGGTTTGTGGTGAACTACACTGAATGCAGCTCTGAATTGGCTGTCGGACATGCGTTGGAATACATGGTCAGAAGGAATGTGGATCTCATCATTGGTCCCCCATGTCCACCGCGTTAGTTCAACTCTTTCAGATTATCTATGTAGGCTTCAATATTTTCTCCAGTGTATGGAAATGGAAAGATTCTTTCCGGGTAATCGTTTTGGGTAGCTAGATAGAAGAAAGTGTGAGGCTGAACTGAGCCTTCCAAAACAGTCCGGATATGACTTTACAAAGTTTCCGAATCATTTTGTGTGCCGCGAGGGTAGTACGTTGCTAAGTTGACCGAAAATGCAGTCATTGCTCCTGAATGAAGCAAAACGGTCGGGCATTTGCTGGCGGGCGGTTGCGATGGGCGTTCGGGTCAGTATGTCGCAGTCGCTGTGAGGTGCCTTTTTTGGGAGAGGCGCAACCTGGCGCCTGCTCACGGGATTTCCGTTCTGCTAGGCATGTTGATCTCACACGCCTTGGGGTTTACCGGCCTCAGGGCCGCTCTCCTTCAGGTAAGAAGCTTCAACCTAGGGTGTCTCAGCCTCTTATCTCTAGAGATTGAAGAGAATCAAATCTGTTCAGCGGCGGAAATCATGGGCTACATGTCGACATACTACAAGAAGACCATGCTTGGATGGGGTTTCCTGATCGATTCTATATTCAGCGACAATGAACGCTTCAAGTATCTCACGACAGTCATGCCGGACTCACTTCAGTAAGCAATTGCTCGTTGTTTTCCTAACTATTGCAGATGTTTGCAGCGCTCTCGAATTCGAGAATAAATGAATGCGCCGGAGTGAAATGTCGAGCTAAAGACACATGGTACGATCACACATAGTTTGGGTGTGCGTGACTATCAGCCCCCAGCTGTCGAAGCGTAGCGGTTTCCCCGTCCTAACATGCGCAGGAATGGAGATACAGGACCGTGAAACACGCTAATCCTCCATGCTCCGCCTAGAATGCTACTTGCGGCGCAGACTCCCTATCGCGTTTGTACTAGCAGCGCAGCGCTGCTGGCACTTTGCCAGTCGTGCGAATTGCGCTTTGGAATACAATTAAAACGCGAACTCCTGATGCGGATAACATTTGAGGTGTTGCTCATGCTTCAAAGTCCGAATCGAAGATGATGAAGATGACAAAGGCTAGAACTGAAGAACAACGAATGTAGATGTAAGTAAAATAAAAATGAAAAATTCAAAGAAATGTAGATTAATCAAAATCCCGTGTAAACTCTTGCGATTACGGCTCCAAAACCATAAAAATACTTAACGAGTGTGACGCCTAAGCCATTTTGATTTTCATGTTTTGTAGGGAACTCCGAGGGGACTGCAGAAGCAGCGCAGTTGCTCTTGAGTTCTGACCCTCGTCATCATCTTCGATTCGGAGTTTGCAGCATGAGCAACACCTCAAATGTTATCCGCATCAGGAGTTTGCGTTTTAATTGTATTCAAAGCATAGTTACTCGACTTAGCAAAGTGCCAGGAGCAGCCGTGCGCGCGAGACGCGCCGCGCGCACGGCTGTTAGTATAAACAGGATTAGGAGCCTGCGCTGCAAGTTGCAATTTAGGCGGAGCATCCTAAATCAGCAGCATCCTAAATCTCGATTTCTGCGCACCCAAACTATGCGTGGTCGTACATGTGTCTTTAGCTTCCGCTAATGAGTGAAAGTCTAGTCTGGCGTCTAGGAGATGGTAGGGATTCTCGTAAATGTTTGAATACCCTATGACAATAGTTTCCAACCACTTGCACAGCGCTGCAAGAATCTAACCTGCGTCAGTCTAGTGAAAGTACCAAGGCCGTTTCTCTCTCCAAGACTATCGCTTCATAATGCAGTGAGGCGAAAGATACGTGCGCCATAAAAGAACGCTACAACTCGCTTTTCCCTCAAGAGTTTTTGAAGAAAATTATTTACAGAGACTAGGAACCTGAGCATTTTGCAATCGTGAAGCTTTCCGGGGTTACTGTCATCTGTTTGATGTAGACCTCAGTTCGTCCCATCATGTAGTCACCAGTGCGTAGGAGGTTGTCAACGCTCAATTAACCCATATTTTCAAAGCGATTCCGTTTCACAACGTCATCAGAAATGTGGCATTCGCCTCCTTGCTTACTGCTTCATCATCTCCTAGACATGCAAGCTGAAAGGATTCAGATCCGGGTTGCTAGATGGTTCCTTATGAGAGGAACCGGTAAAACGAAGTAAATCGCTGTTTTAAAACCATCACGGATCAGCATCTGGTCCCTTTAGAAGGTAAGATTATGCTAATACTGTTTCCAGAACAAACGTTCTAACTTTAGCGGTCCGCCAATCTCTGGAACAATCTTTGAATCAGGTTCCAAATGAAATTGAGTGGCATGGGCACGTGATTTACTCCCCCCCCCTGTATCATGATGACAACCTGTGCCTGTAGCAGAATGAGAACCTGTGCGATTCGGTTGAGCGTGAGGTCTTTCCTTCTTGCCATGCAAAATTGCTCTACCTCTGCAAGCAAGTACCCTAGTCCGCAGTAACAGCAATTGCGTACCCATTTTCCACCTTCCCAGGGCGAAAGATGACGAGACTACCCACACCGCCATTACTCTTACCCACTTTCAATGACACCGCCCGCCGCTCTACCTAACCATAAGGAAAGAAGGTGTATAGAAACACTTAGGGGGGGAGGGGTTGTACACGGCCGCTGGCGAGGGTGAAACGTATTTGAAGAGAGGCAGTCGTATGTGCCTCGCCTTCCAACGGAAAATTTTGCTGTAATCAGTGAAGCGACGAAGCTCTTTCATTGAATCTTTATTATATGACAACGTTTCGGGCATAAGCCCTTCTTCAGGTCACTCGATCTTAATCAAACAGCATATACTCTTACAATTACAGCACTAGAAATAGCAACCACCAATACTATGTAGAAGGGGGAAAGAGACAAAACTCCGTCAAGCCTCATTACGTAGCAGTATGGCAGAAATAAAAGTGGAAGGATTGGGATCATTTATAAGGGTGCGGGACAAGGGTGATCTAGCATTCGTCACGTATGTCTCCATTGTGCACGTCTTATACTGATAACAAACTCATTGCCACTTTCATCTCCTCCTTGCTGTTGATGGGTGGTTCTTGCTGCTTCATTTCCAGTGCCTCCCTGATCTTTCTTTCAAATGTCTACCACATTTCTGTGTAAGATGGAGATGCGAAGTTTCGGCGGTCTTTCTTGAGCGTGCCTTAGTATGCGGTGTCTCGAGAATGGGTTCTCCGGATAGCTCTGTGGGTTCCGCTAAGTGTCCCTCCATTCTCTTGTGAAGTGGCCTGATGTTTCTCCTATGTAAACTCATGACATGTACATCACACACTTTTCCTTGACACACCTTATGTTCTCCACAAATCACACAGTTAGCTCTTTCACATCGACTCTCATATGGACGCGATGATGTTAAAAGTCGTCGTAAATTAGAAGGTGGTCGAAATACCAGGCTTAGGGAGCCGTGACCTTTTCACGACGCGTTTAACATCAATAGCGAACGAGTCGCTGATGAAAGGTAACACGAGTGGAGTGCCATGCCTCCAGCATCAAAGCTGCCGCCTTCTACATCCGCTTCGCCGCAAGATGTTCTTCACTTCTGTCTCCATTTGTTCGTGATTCGTGGAGGTCAGCTCATGTGATGTCTTAACCATATGGCGGACTACGTTCACTTTCATGTAAAGAGGATGGCAACTCCTCGCGTGAATGAGGATGTTCTGGGATGCCAACTTCTTATACCATATGGTGTTGATCTGACCTTCCGAAATCTTGACTTTGGTATTTAGAAATGGGAGAAAACCATCCGAGGAAGGGCGTTGCTGTTGTCCCAAGCAAGGTATGTTCACCAGTAAGAACATAGACTCTCTGGAAGGAACTCTGAAAAATGAACAAGGTGCCATTCAGACGTAAGTTGTGGCTGACATTTGGTCCAGTGGTGATCAATGGTTCATCAGTGCGGATAATTGTGGGCGTTATTGGTGGGGGTTCTGATTGACACATTAAACCTTCCTCGAACACTCTTCATTGGATGCCATATAGGGACTTTTCAAGAATTACGGTTGTTCTTGGTGTTAAGCGTGTTTTTCACAAGTCCTAGCGGATTCATCGAGCCCTGCCTCTAAGATGACTGCCACGCAGGAGTGCGTTGGCAGTCAGCCTGCTGATGTAAGGAAGTGAAAGTCACGCTTATCACTGCTCGCTAGTCTCGCAATAATTTCCATCTTTTTTCCGTCCTAGATTATGATCAACACTTTAGGATGATGTATGCCATGCTCGAAATGTTCACGATGTTCCAGTGGAATCGTGTAGCAATCTACTACATTCCGAATGAAGTGCAGTACTGTGACACGATAATGGACAATCTCGCCGTGCGTTAAAGCGATCGTGAACATTTCGAGAAGTAGCCATGCCTGCAGTTTCAATTACCGACCTACCTTTTCCAGACGGCGTTCAGTGACGATTCCACATACGCAGTGGATGTCGTACAGAAAGTTTCATGGGATGGCCAGGCGAGTGACTACCTGGCTGATCAGTTGCTGCTTACCAAGCGATCTGCAAGAAGTGAGTGCTTATGCGATAGATAGCGAGTACTTTTCACAAGACAATTTCGAGCGAGGTATGAGGTTGATAAAAAGTCCTACAACCCTTTGAACCAATTGTGCTAGAGAATCAAAATATATTTTGGCCTTACCCCAGATTAGTGCCTAGCGTTCTCGGAGGTTTTGCAGACTACATGTCTTGACTTTGCGGAAGCTCTCAGAGCATAAGTTAATGGCCATTCAGTCATTGTTGAGGGGTCTAACAACCACATCGTCTCGCTGTCGCTTGAACGCTGTGTTGATACTGAGGCTAGGGAATAAGAGATACCTCATCCGCAGGTAGGCACATATACGGAGGGATTGGTGTCGATGTGCTTATAACTTACGCTTTATTGAATTCTAATTGGACATTCCACCATCATATTCAACGACACATTGTACACAGCCTTCTGGACGAGCGCCATCGAGAGATTCTGCCACGCGACCGTGATTCGGTGCCTGAGTTCAGCGAGGTCGTTGATTTCTCCGCCACTGTAGACCACCCTGTTGAGCTCCGCCCGAACCCGGTAATCGAGGGGATTCAGGTCAGGTGACACACTTGGATATTCCATGTCTCAACGCCCTTCCATTCCAAGTAGGCGAGAGTTTTTCCAACGCCCTTCGATTCCATGTGGTGGCACCCAATCCTGTAGCAGTACAAAGTTTCCAAGATGGTACAGGCGACGACATGAAGGCAGGATATTCTCCTCGAGTTGGTCGATGTAACCGTCAGCGTTCACTTCCAGTCCGAGATCCACGAAGGAATATCGGTCTCTCAATTCCACGAACTCCGTTCATACCATCAACTCGCGCCTTGGCCTACCACGGCGAAGACGATGTCCTGGACCATAATGACGTTGTCGGAGCTGCTCGATGTTGGAGGTCTTCCAGATCGAGAGTACTGGTCTCCAGGTAGCTGTCCATGGGTGACTCCATACAAGAAGTTTCGCAGCTGTTTGGAGGTGACATGAATTAGGCGGCTAGGCCGCATCATGTATGGGTCAAGGAGCGACTGGATGGAAAATCTGAACTGCGCGCATCAACTGCTTAGGATGTTACAGGGTGCGGGACCCCACAATGGACACGATTTTGGAATCACAGTAGAGGTCTTAGAAAGCGAGGACCAATTTTCCGCACGAAAAACTCTTGAAGCATTCTGTATTCAGGTCAGGAATCCAAGAATGCAGGGGAGAATGCTTATCAATCACGCGAGAGCTATCTCCCTGAATAAGATCAGCATTTTGACCAAGTTCTGGATAGGTTCAATTTGTAAACTTCCATCACCGGGAAGCCGTCGTTTGATCCGATGGATCCAGTTATAATTATGTTTGGTGTTTCCCTTGTATGACATGGACATAGTTGGGTAGAAAGGGTAAGCGTGCATTTGATGCTGGTTCAGATATCATCATTGATCTTGACTCTTTCAGGGCTCCAAAGAAGGCGAACCAGGGCACATCGTTGGTTGGAGGATGTAGTAGTCCGTACGTTCCTCCCTTTTTTTGGAGGGGGGTTGATACGATCCCCCCCCCCATCCGGCTCTGTCCATCCTCATCGAATCGAGCCGTCGAGCGGGGGGTAAATAGCACATGTGAAACAGGAAAAGCCGCGAGACAATACGACCCCCCCCCCCTTCTACCAATTCTCAGATTTTCCCCAACTTCCTGCCACTTTTCCCACAATTTCCCGAAAATTTACCTATTTTTTCTCAAAAAATCTGCTGTCGATGTGGGAGGGGCATAGTAAGCACGAAACAGGAAAATAAAAAAACCACGTTCCTACGACGCAAAAACGTAAACCTCCCCTTCCTCTGAACAACGACCAAGTACGATCTTCCCTCCAGGGCACGCCATCGCGTCGTAATCATTTTCCGCTAAATACGACGCCACTCCCCCAAATAAGGGTCTTAATACGACCCCTCCTCTGTCACGAGGGTAGAAACGAAAAGAAGAGGGGAAAGGAGGAAAGAAAAGGGATGAAGAAAATGACAATAAAGAGAACTAGGCACCATTTAGACTATCCCTACCCCAAGAACTCGTAAAAATTTCGCTGAAACTTTGTCTATAGATGTTATTCGATGTCCGGTGTCCTGACCACGAGTATGACATCATTTCTCCATACCAGCGCTATTTAGCGCTCTGCTGAGGCTGAAACTGGGAAAAGGAAGATTCCTCTCAGGCCAGGCTCAGTCTTAGCAAAGCGCAGATTACCATAGTGTCGTACATTAACGCCGGCGCCAAGAATAAATGTCATATTCGTAGTCAGGATGTCAAATAACCCCCGTATACAAGTTTCAATCGATTTTGGTGATTTAGGGTGCTTTGGCGCGGCGCCAAGGTACCCTAAATCATCGAAATCGATGATTTCGGGCGAAGCGGAAGTGATATTCGTGTTCAGGAGGTCGAAGTACTACTATAAGCAAACTTTCAGCCCAATCTGCCCTTTTAAAGAAAAGTCGATAAAAAAGCAGCCCGATTCCGGCAGGCTAGGGTAGGAATAGTTCGATAGCGCCGGAAACCAGAACCAGAAGCTAGAGAACTAATAAGAAAAACTAAAAAAGAAAATCAACAAAACACTAGAAACGAAAAACAAGAAAAAACTCACCATGAGACATGGAAGCCAGAACTAGTAAATAGCATTTGAATATTAATTGTTCGCGGTCATTCGGCTAATAAAAGGGATTGGAGCGAGCTATTTTACGACCCGGAGCCAGTTCCAAGCCAAACACTCGAAAAGTGCTCCTTGAACACCCATAACTTCTTTGAGAGTAAAGCTTTCAAGGGAAAGCACGAATGAAGGAAGCTATGTTGGCACTTGTTACCTGATTTTGAGCGATTTCAAAAAATATCCTTCTTAGAAATTTTCTCCGTTGTGATCCTCTTGTGATCATGGGGGCAAACCACAAGTGGCTACGCTTTGAACATCCATGGCAAGCTTCATACAGCTCCTTTCGTAAAAAGAAAAACAGTGTCAGAATTACGGAGCTTCCTGTTTCCAGCAAGACTTTTATTTTATTAGGCCTGCTATTCGAAAAATCCCCGTTGTGATCACAGCGTGATCACTGCCCCACGACACGAAAAATCAACCCCTCCGACGCCATAAAACCTCCAGTTGGCTTAAAGACTTTGGTATGCTTCTAAAACGCATGTTTTTGCCAAGGATATCAGGAAATAGTTCATTGGGCGCCAATTGGCATCACCTCTGCAATGCGCCATGCATAGCGCTTTCACGCAGAGCTATTGGGAAGGTGCAAAGAAAGGGCTTCCTCCGTGCAAGTAGATGTGCTTCTGCGATAGAAAGGTCCGGAAGTGTATTCCCATCTGTTTATTAATTCATGGCGGTTACTCATTGAGGTGGTGTAGTGACAAACAACGCGCTCACCACTCTCGCGATGCCGGGTTCAAATCCGGGTCGACTCAGACAAACCAAGCCTTCTACCCTCCGGGTACCAGATTCGTCTGGGAGGATAAAACACTGACTTGTACATCGGCTGGCCACCGCAAGTCATTGTATAGGCCACATCGCATTCAATAAGTAGAATGCGTGCCGCATCCCACAAAGGGGTTGATCAACGGCGGAGACTTTATCCTTTATCCTTTTTTGACGTCGTTGTGGGCGGCCATCGTATTTCCTGTCATCGCCCGTTCCCCACTTCTGCGCTGGCAGGTTGCTTCTGTCTTGTGTGGGTCTCTTCAGAGGTTCTTCACATGGATAAGTCTTTCATCATTGAAGCTGAACGACATCTGGGTATCGCTGCACCCTCACTTCAGAAAGGTTCCCGCGCTTACGACCCCTCGAGGTCAAATACGACCCCCTGTTGTGATCATCACAAGCGTGCCTGTCCCTCTGCTCCTCCTTTTATAAGGTCCATAAAGAGAGAGAAACCAACTATCAAAACAAATTTTCCTAGCCCAAGTACAGCTCAAGTACGACCCCCCTCTCTTGGCGGCCAAATACGACCCCCCTGTCAGGGATTCTCCGACAACGATGTGCCCTGAGGCAAATTTGCGGAAACATCAGCCGATAAAAAGTTCATAGATAGCTAGTCAAACAGTTTGAGAGACATTATTATAAAAGCAGTGATCAAACATGGTGCCCACTGAGTCGGACTGGAGCCTATTGAACCTGCTTATTCATATAAATTCATGCCAGAAAGAGGAAGTTGGCAGATACCGTGGAAGGCTCCCACTTTTTCGACGAACATCATATCCAGTTGACGGAGAAGCTTCTAGTAGTGGTGGATGTCTACAGCATCGCCGTAGAAGTGGGCGCTGCATGCGAGCTACAATCGCAAGGTCCGATTTCCCATCTCTGAGTCGTTTGAAGCAACTTTAAAGGCAGTTGGCACGATGGTTTCCTACTTAGCCTAAAATGCTAGTAGGGCGCTGTATAGTGGGGAAATGGCGAAAGAACGGAGTGAAACGGTCAAAATCCGGCGAAGAAAAAGCCTCCGTTCTCAGTGACTTGTAAATCGATTTCGGACGAGTTTCCCGTACGCATCTTGCCAATCACCGCTACCGAAGATACGGCTGCATATGTGTACCCATGTATGCATGCAGCATCACGGCCGCTTCATACCAATCCCTTCGCTTCATAATTTGCTCAGCAAATGAATGAATACGAGCGTCAGAAACGGTCGTCCGTTTGTGGGCGGGCGGGCAAGGAAGGCGTTTGGGACGTAAAGTTGTTGCTCAATAGGGCGTTATAGAGGTACCCTCCTTGGAAAAGGCTTCACGCAGCGCCTGTCCGAGGTCACGGAATTCTGTTAAGCCAGTTGTACAAATCCTACACCTGTATAGCGATTTATCGTGCCAACTGCCTTTAAGCCGTCCAATGAATCATCTTTCGTTAATCACATACTTGTCACTGGGAGTTGGAGTGGCATGGACCTAGGAGGTGTTCAGGAGCCTGAGTGTTCAGCATCCACCAGTGGTACAAATATCCCTATCTTGAACGTAATACAGAGCACCTCTCACACTGCTAAAGGTAGCGTAATTGATTGCTAGCCA